TGTTTTGAGGCTCCCATGTTGCCAGTCTTCAGAGAAGATGCAAAGGGGAGAACAACTTGCAACTGGCCACCTTAAATACCCTTTCTCATGATTGGCTTCACCTGTGTATGTAGGTCAAGGGTCAATGAGCTTACCAAACAAATTTTGTGTTCCAATAATTAGTGCTAAAGGTATTCAAATCAATAAAACAACAAGGGTGCCCAAATTTATGCACCCGCCTACTTTTGTTTAAGTAATTATTGCACACTTTCTGTAAATCCTATAAACTTCATTTTACTTCTTAAATATCACTGTGTTTGTTTGCAATATGATATATTTAATTGAAATTGCTGTTCCGAACAACCAATGATCCATAAAGGAAAATCTTGAAAATAATCAGGGGTGCCCAAACTTTTTCATACCACTGTATTTACTACAATTCTTACTAATTTTGACTAAGATACACTATTATTTCCTTTTCTGTTTAAAATGTATTTATATTTTAATTGGTTTAAGGTCATTTCTATTAAATTATTAAATTATTTGATCATTGGTCAACCTATGTTCTTTTGAATCTGGCTATTTTAGGCCAAGCTAAGCGAAGCTAAGCTAAGCTAAACTGACCTAGTCTAGACTATCCAAACAACATAACTTACCCAACTCTGCAAAACCTAACTTTACTAAACTCAACTCAACTGAAGTTAAGATCTTTTTACTTCACTTTACTAAACCTAATTAAACTTAACGTCACAAACCCTAAATTAATGTAACTTGACTCAAATTAGCTTGAATTAACATCATTTAACTTAAATCAACTCAATAAAAATTAATTTTCATGTATGTCAGCTCGACGTAACCTTACTAAACCAGATGACTTTGCTGAACTTAAACTTAACAGTAAGTAACAACACAGTTCCCTTCCATGCAATTTCTTTTTTTATCAAATACTTACTAAACACAGCTTTGATGCTGTATGGAACGTCCAGTTTGCCACTGGAGGCCAAAGCTCCCAGGAAGGCTGCAGTGTCCATGGTGCTCTGGAAACACTCAGTGGACTGCTGGAAGCACTGACGATTGTCCACCTCCAAGTAGACGATCGAACTGAAGGTGTGGCAAAGGGGACAACGTACAATGTTGAGCGACATTGGAACCAAAAAAAAAAAGTCTGCAGAAGGAAAAAATACCCTCACCCTTTAATCTGTAGGTAGTCCAGCTCCCTCTTTCGTCTCATTCCCACCACATCGATGAGACTCCTCTTCACCACGTTCAGAACCTGACCGGGAACCTCGGACCACGTGTCCACCGAGCGCTTCACATTGTACTTCCTCAACTCCTGTTCGTTGCCGTAGTAAGGATACACCATCACCTCGCCCTTGGTGCTTTTCCTGAACACCACATTGGTGCGAAGGACGCGGCTCAGCTCGCGCAGGAAGGTGGAGGAGTTGGTCAGGAGCTGATCAGGCGTGATGTGGACCACCAGCACCAGCTGACCCACCGCCAGGTTCTCAGGCATGTTGTTGGCACAGTCCAGGCCATCCCACTCACACTCGGCATTGTTGCAGCCCTGGTCGCAGTGGCCGTCGGCATAATGGTCCTTGCAGTACTGGTCGTACAGAGGGCTGGAGGAAAAAAAAGGCAGAGGAACGAGATGTTTTTATGAAGAAATTACAATTTAATTCACGTGTCAAACTCAAGGCCTGTGGACCAAATGTGGTCCGCCACATTATTTTACGTGGCCCACCGGAGCTCATCATGCATATGGTTATCTTTTTTTGTGAACCACGTCACGGCGATGGTATTGACAATTTACTGAACATTAACCGTGTTTGGCCCACAGTTTAGATGTGCGTTTTAAATTTCGGCCCCTTGCATGATTGAGTATGACACTCCTGATTTAAAAATGACCTTAGAGTGACCTTTGCAGATTCAGTCTACAAAATGTCCTCTGATCCAGGGGCTGGGGGACAGAATTATGTTTCTAGAAGTTGTATGGATGCTACTGTAAGTAGCTACAGCTACTTAATTACTTTAACTCTAAAGTTGCTACTGCGAAAAGCTGCAATATTATATATATAATAATATATATATTTTTACATTGTAACATTGTAGGACACTGTCCCTTTACTTACTTGCACTGTCCTTCCAGATTCTCGCAGTCAAAGCCGTCGTAGAGACACCCAGCGTTGTCACACTGCAGGTCACACACTCTATTGTTGAAGTAGCGCCAGCACTGCAGCGAGGCGGAGCAGTTCTTCCACGGGTCGTTGAAGTTCAGCGAACAGTCGCCATTGTCCCAGCCGCACTCGTGGTTGTTGCACATCTCGTCGCAGTGGTTGTTGTCCTTATGCATCTTGCACTGAGGGATTGGACATTCCACCTCCAGGTCTGGGGCCGGTGTGATGTTGTGGCCGAACCCTCCCTGGAAGCCGTAGTCCAGGATGTGGCAGTGGAGGCCGTTGAAGTTGGAGGGGCAGAGGCAGTGGTAGAACGGTGCCTCGGTGGTGTACTCGCAGGTGCCGCCGTTATAGTAAGGGTCTGAGTTACAGGGGCTGTCGGTGGGATAGTTGCACTTGGGCCCGGTGAATGATGGCGTGCACAGACATTTAAGAGTCTTGTGGCCGGAGATGCAGGTGCCCCCATTGTGACAGTGCAGGGTGCCACAGGCCTGGGCGTCGTACTCGCAGGTGGAGCCGGTGAAGCCCTACGAGAAGAAGAATCATCAGACCTAAGGACTCTTTAATGGGTACAAAGTTCAGCCTGTAAACCATGTTTTGAGCCAACTTTAAGCTCAAATCAGATCTGTGCCTGTTGTAAAATCACTACATTATTGCGTGTGTGCCACTCACAGGAGGACATTTGCAAATGAAACTGTGGGGCGTGTTACTGGCCACAGCGCAGGTTCCACCGTTCCTACAAGGTCTGCCCTTACAGCCATTGAACACAGTGTCACAGCGTTGACCTGCAGGAGGGGTCAAATAATCCAATAATTAGAGTCATTCAAATATAGCACCTTAGATGTACGTGTATCGATGTTTCTTTGAGAGTCTAAGACAACACCATAAATAAGTGGTTCTCAAACTATGTACACCACGTACCTCATCAAAAATATTCTATATATTCTATACTACGTCATTAAAACTTACACCTGAATGATAAATAAATCAATTCCCTACTGTACCACTACAGGGAGCCACCAGGATTACAGGCACCATGGTTTGAGAACCACTGTATGTATGGTATATAATGGCTGATATATGATAGGAATGTCAGTTTGGACAAATGTAGATTTATTTGGAATTAAATTACATTAATAGCTTTATATGCTAAACCAAGAGTCAGTGGAATAATAATATTTGAAAAAAATCTCAGTATAATCTTCAGTACCTGTGTATCCAGTGCGACACTCGCAGCGGTAGTTGTTGGCTAGCTGGATGCAGCTGAGCATACCATGCGGGTCACAAGGGTTGGACAGGCACTCGTTGACGTCACCCTCGCAGCGCTCTCCCACATAGCCCGGTGGGCAGGTGCAGTGATAGCCCCCGACTCCGTCCACACACTTGCCTTTATTGAAGCACTTTGGCTCTTTGGTGACGGGGTCAGTGAAGGGGTTGCAGTCGTCCATGTTAATCTCGCAGTGAACTCCTGAGGAGGGGAGGGGTGGCAGGAGGCATCAGATTTGGACTTTTCTTTTGTCAAAAGTACTTTGCCCAACATGTAAAATAGATTTTTTTTAATTATAAAAGTGAATAAGAGATTAATTGATTAAAACCAGGGCTTTGACCTTTAACACGCAATTAAATACAAAAACAATTCTGTTGAAAAAAATAACATTCAACCACAGCTTTCCAGCTGAACAGGAACACTGAGGCACACACCAGCCCAGCAGGGGCCAGTAATGCACCTAACGTTTGGCAGTTTGGTCAAAATCAGTCAAATCCATCTCATGTCTGGGAAAAAGAAAACTATAGTATATTTAATGAAAAGACAGTGAGTTTTCAGACACTCTGTGGACGGTTTAGGCGGCTGTGTGTATGAGTTCTGCTGACCTTGGGTTCCCCGGGGACAGGAGCATTTGTAGGTATTGATCAGGTCAATACAGATAGCCCCATTCTGGCACGGCTGGGAGAAACACTCATTGATCTCCTTGGAGCAGTTGGTCCCCACAAAGCCTGGCATGCACTGAAAGAAGGAGGAAGGCGAAGATGAAGAGGAGGCGGAGAAAATTATCCGATTTCACTTAATTGGTCCCAAAACTATCATTTATTGATTGCAAATATTTTTTCTTTGTTCATCAATGCGTGACAAGCAGAGCAACTAAATCCTCTTCCGCTAGGTGGCAGCAGATGGTTATTAAAACTAAAAAAATATAATCAGAGCTGTTGAAGATCTTGAGTGTCTTTCTTCAATTCCTGTCAGTATATCAGCGTTTTCTTTAAACTTAGTCAATTAAGTCAATAAATTTAGTCAATTTAAAGTAGAATATTATTATGTTTCATTACATATACTTTTTGTGAGATTTTTGTATGGTGTTGTGCCGCGGGGTTTTTCCTGAGTATATATATGTGCCGTGGCTGAAAAAAGGTTGGGAAACACTGTGCTAAGCTACGGTACCTAGGCTTTCGGGTACAGTACCACAGATGACCAGCAGGGGCTTGACTGAAGGAGTTGCTTACCTATTGCCAGAATTCAGTCTTTACAGCAAAATTAATGTTCAGCTTTGGTTTACAGTATTACCTTGCAGGTGTATCTTCCTAAGAAGTCAGTGCAGGTGGCGCCGTTCTGACAGGGGTTGGGGGTGCATTCATCCACCTGCTTCTCGCAGTAGCTTCCAGTATATCCTATTTGGCAATGGCAGTAGTGAACGTTTCCTGCGTTCAAACACTGACCCGAGTTACGACAGAGATGGGCAACATTCACGCCTGCTTATAGAGAAGGAGCAACGCTTAATATTGGTGTTAACAGTACAGTGCAATAGCTTTAGCTGTCACTTGTGCCGTCACATGATCGCAGCTGTCAATCAAGATGCGCCAGCTCAAATATTTTTAGATGCATTTTGTTTGAATTAGATTTATATTCATGACACTGAAAGAATCAGCATTTTTTAAAAATAATTACTAGACACTTTAAGCGACCCCATTTTGAATTTAAGGCAACCCTAGATGGGGACACGACCCATAGATTGAAAAACACCTGAGTTACGTCAGACATCTCTGCTTTTTTTTTTTTTTCAAATCCGTGCACCTCCACCTTACCCCTCTGTTTAGATGCCACCTCACAGGAAACACTCTGCACGTCGCAGTAGAGGCCGGTCCAGCCAGTCTCACATTCACAGCTGTAGGTGGTTCCTCTCTGCCAGCACGTTCCACCGTTCTTACAGGGCGACGAGTCGCACCAATGCACCAGGTTCTGAAAAGTGTTGGGGCGGCAAAGAAGAGACATTTTGTTAAACCGTGTTAATGTTGTCATGGCCCACAAATAGATTCTCGCTCAGTGTACCGTACCTGACAGTTGAGTCCAGTGTAACCATGGGGGCAAGTGCACTTGTAGGTGCCGTAGCTGTCGTGGCAGGTGCCTCCATTCATGCAGGGTTTGGAGTCACACTCGTTGATGTCGTGCTGACAGTAGCTCCCTGTGAAGCCGGGTGGGCACTGACATGTGAAGGTGTCGATGCCGTCCACGCAGGTGCCACCGTTAATGCAGGAGCTGCGGGGGAAAAAAATGTCATTTTAAGAATAAAATTTTAAGAATAAAGTCTCCAAATGCACAGTTATTCATTTAAGGTACATTAGTTTCTGCTGCTTTTTGAATTTCTGCAGTCAAAATCCTGAAATTGGCTGTAGACTACCGGCATTCTACCAGAGGGGGCAGTAGAGAACAAGAAAATATTTCTACACAATCAACATTTTAACCGAAACACTCTCGTCGGTGTGTGTGATCGGAGCGTGCGTGTTCCCCGCGTCCCACCCCCCGCCCAGCTCCTCACCTCTCTGTGCAGTCGGGAGTGTTGTTCTCACAGTGGATGCCACTGAAGCCATGTGGGCAGGTGCAGGTGTAGCTGTTGACATAGTCGGTGCAGTTGGCTCCGTTCTTGCACGGGTTGCTCTCGCACTCGTTGATGTCCTCGTCACATCTTGTCCCCCTGAAGCCCGGCAGGCATGTACACAGGAAGCCGTTCACCTTGTCCTTGCACTGGCCTCCGTTGCTGCAGGGATCTGGAGGGGGAGGGGGAGAGAGAGAGAGAGAGAGAGAGAGAAAGAGAGAGAGAGAGAGAGAGACTCACGGGTCAGTAATATGTGGCTTTCCACGTCTTTACTGCCCTGTGGCAGAAAATAGAATTTGGGAAAACTCACTGGGCTTGCAGTCGCAGTGATAACTGCCCAGAGTGTTCTGGCAGGTCGCTCCATTCAGACAGGGGTTCTTCACGCACTCTTTAATGTCCACCTCACAGGTTTGTCCTAAAGGACGGAGACGCAAAGATGACGTTTTGTTCAATTTCATTTCATTTTTCATTCCTGAAGCCTTTGTGACGACACTAGGGGGTTCTTGAATTATTTAATCGCAAGGTAGATGTAGATTAATCACAATTAACTGTGAGACGTCGTGATTAATTATACACAACAAACACATGCATTTATACATATATGCACACATATACAAACATATACACGGACAAATATATAAATACGGACATATTTACACCAGACATGGGGACTCGAGTCTGAGACTCGGACTCGAGTCGCACTTAAGTCGCACAAACAAAGACTTGTGACTTGACTTGAGACTTGCCCTCTAAGACTCGAGACTTGACTCGGACTTCGGTGTTATGACTCGCGAGTCGTGAATAAAGTCCATAACCAAGGAATTATCTATTTTATCATTTAACTCATTTCACTTTTTCCGATGCGTTTCCCAGCGTTATGGAAAAATCGCAGGCAGAAGTAGTTTCCTCCCTTGATATCGCGCGCTAAGGTTTGTAACGCATGCGTGCTGCCTCAAGTTTAGGTTTCATATCACAGTGACCATGGCGGCGGCAAGTCAGACTGGAGCGATTCCTTTTGTCATTGCATTTGCTTATAAAGACTTTGATAAGATAAATTATTAACGGACGGCTACTTGTAAGGAGTGTGGCGTTAAGATAAATGATGCTGGATCAACAACGTCGAACTTTCTCAGGCACCTCAGAACACACAAGGATAGGTCAGTGG